TACAAACGTCCCATATTTTCCGAATAGTTGGTAAATTTTGGAAAATGTCTTTGACTAAATTAATAATGAATTGAAAAAAACTATTTGGTGAAAAAAAGCTGTGCGTAACACTTTTCGAAATGTGTTCGCATATTGATACATTTATGCGAGGTTTTATATGGATATGCGATTCGTAAATATGCGATACAATACGCATAATCGATAGTTATCTTCTATCTACCCTTATAGATTTGGATATGCGAATCTTAAATTATGCGAACATATGCCGCATAATCTTAAATGATACGTTTGATTGATCTGGCCTGGATATGCGTTTGAAAATTATAAATTACTTTTACTTTTTTTCATTACGCTATGCGAACATAATGCAAATTATCGCACTTTGTTCACACTGCTGCGAATAATAATTTCCCTTCGAGTATTATCGCTGATTTTGCTTGCAAAACTCTGTTCACGGATATTAATGGTTTCATTGTCCATGCAACATATTGTTTTGTTTTGACATTTGAATCATGATTAAACACATACTTGACAGAAGAAAAAAATATTTATTATTGCTGCAGTCAGTCCAACATTTGCCACGGAAGCGGATCGCGATCTTTTTCATAGGGTGAAATCCTTTCCATTTTTTTTTGCTGCAATGGAAAAATAGGGTTTTGAGAAGTGAAAGGTCGCTTCTTCAACAAAGAGAATGAAAGGTTAATAAATACAGATAGCACTTAAAGGCTAGGTAGAGATATACATCAACTTGACAACTAAATGAGGAAGCATGCAAATCGTCATTGGTTTTTAGGTGTAAAAGCAGACAATCAATCAATGCGGTGCGTAACTTATGCGAACAATATGCGAAGCATTTTTGATTTGGATATGCGGTGCAGACAATCAATCAATGCGGTGCGTAACGTATGCGAATAATATGCGAAGCACTTTCGATTTTGATATGCGGTGCAGACAATCAATCAATGCGGTCCATATGGATATGCGAAAAAAATGGCGGATAGTCGTAAATTATGCGACTTTCGATTTGGATATACGATTCATTAATTATGCGGTTGAAGACTAGGCGAATCATCCCAGTTGTGCGATTATTTATGGGATATGATATGAGAATCGCACAATCAACCCAATTGTGCGATTATTACGGGACATGTTATGCGAATCGCACAATCAACCCAGTTTCACTAATTTTTGTTAGTCAATCGTGTGCAGGTCACAACTTAGGGCACAAACACAGTATTTTTCCCGTTAAAAGTATTGTTTTCGTTAAATTAGTTTACAATTAAAAACTCCATCTTCATCTTAATTGTCATGGATTGGACGTGATGGACAAGATGACGATTGTAACCTCTTTCTTTACATATACGACATCTCCTCGGGCGTCTTGGATGAGGTGTTGGTGCGTTTTGACCTTCTTCATTTGAAAAAAAGTCATTATCACCATTGTATAGAGGGCACTTCGCCCTGTTATGCCCGGTGACCCCGCACCGTGAGCACATCTGCTGATGCCGTACTCGACGTGATGATCCTTCTCCAGTGGAATAACGTTGAGTCCGTGGCCGACCTGCTTGTTTGGGATCATTTGGCGGAATTACCTTTTTACACATAATTTCCGGGGGCAAGTGCCATCATCTGGATGCGGGACGGGGCTAACGGTGCTTTGGTACATCCTTGCAACTGAGTAGGTTTTGTAATGGTCATCAACGAAATCCATTATATCTAACCCGGCTTCCCTGTTTCATATCGTAAATGCACATCATATTTATAGCAATTTTTTTTAAAGAAAAAAGCGATAATGTTGTTTGGTAAACATTACCGAATAGCCGTTGATGCATGTAAGCAAGGTAGTAGATCTATTTCAAACACACGACAATCACATGTTCTTGCCTCTAAATCTACCACGTAGGATCATGTTTCTTCCATAACCCTATAATGTTGCATGCCGAGTGTGGTAATGGATAGAGTACGATCTTTCTCGAACAAAGGATCCAACCGCAATTGAGTCCACTGCGTTAGCGGATGATTGCGACCCTCGGCGGATGCACTCCGAACAGCAAACCATTTCTCTATCGTTGCTCGAACACACTCCAACAACGAGCAAACGGGTAACATCCTGGCCCAACGGAGTTTGTTGTTCAAACTTTCGCATGAATTGGATGTCATGAATCCATAGCGCCGTACAGGTGTAAAACATCTCGCCCAAGCATTTACCGGAATTTCATTAGTTAGCTTTTTAAATGCTTCGGGTTTTAGGCTTTGGATGGATGACAAGTAACGATAGAAGTTTTCACGCTGATAACAATATGCCGCCTTGTAAAATATACCCAAGACAGATTTCCCAAAAGGCCTCATTTGTTTTGTGATGTGATAATAGCAAAATGAATGATGCGCCTCGGGGAACACTATTGGGACAGAATATATGATAGACTCATGTCTATCCGATACGATGAGGAGGTTATCAGGACAACCATAGGACCTTTTCAATTGAGTCAAAAACCAACTCCAAGTCTCACGACGCTCTACATCACCAATGCCAACTGCGAGGGGAAAGATTTGGTGATTCCCGTCCAATGTGGCTGCAACAAACATAATGCCCTTGTATTTTCCTTTCAAGTGGGTACCATCTATCACAATTACCGGGACACCAGCTCGTTGAAAGCCCTCAATGCTAGCTCCTAGAGCAAAGAACAAGTGTTGGAATACCTCGCCATCTCGTTGCAGTTCGACAATTGTACCTGGATTACGAACCTGCAACATGTGCAAGTAACCGGGAAGCCGCCCCCATGATTCTTCATGACCTCCATAAACTTTTTCAAAAGCACGGTGTCTTGCTTGGAGGGACACATTGTAGCTGATCGACAAACCATGCTCCTCCTGCATTTGTTCAATAATTCTCCGTGTAGATAGCGTCTGGGAATTTGTCTGAATAGTTGATGCGTAAATATGAGCGAGAACCTTGGAATTAGCCGAACGGTGTCGATTGTGCGTCAAACTCCCTTCGTATGTATGCTCGAGTTTCAAAGTAGTGATTCTCCATACATCTCGGTTTGCCCTTGCACATAACTTGTAAGAACACCCTTCATACCGACAAACAAATTTTAACCTAGAAGTGCAGGATTTGGGTGTTCGACACTCAACTTTTTGTTGCAAGTGATACAGTTGAATGGCACAAATCAACTCTTCTTTCGAAAGAAGGACAGACCCCAAATATAATTCTATATTGTTCGAGGGTATGTGTATGGGTTGTCTATCTGATCCAGTTGTCGTGGGCGGCATAGGAAGGGACCACATTCGTGGCTCAACATCGGATTGCCGGGTGCTACCTCGATTCATATATGCAAGACTTTCAACATCAATATGGTCGGTGATTAATCTTAGCTTTTCAATATGCTCGCTATACAACGCCCTGAAGAGCTTGAACATTTTCTTCTCATGTACCTCTTTGTCTTCGTCGCCTGAGTCACCATTGTGCGTGTTGGTTTGTTCATCATTATTATCATCGTCACGAGAATGACCTGGTTGGTTCGAACAACCCGCGGTTTGATCATCAGCGCCCCGAGGATATCCAGTATGTGTAAATGAACTAGGGCCTGCTTGATGTGAATATGGGGCCTCGTGGGAAAATGCAGAACTACCAACACCAAAAGAACTCGAAAGTACACCTTGGACGCCATCATTTGCGTGAAGCTTTGTTGCGCCGTCCCCGGAACACCTACATTTACTCACTTCTCCAAATCCACGTAAATGTTGGGAGTTTTTTGTTCTTCAATCAGCTCTAAGATATCCTCACTGGATTCGATTTTCATCTTCACTTTTCGTTCCCTTCCATCAAATACTGCCCACAATATGTACTCAAAATTACAAGGATCGGCCTTCAATAATGCTTGAACACGAGAAACTACTTCAGAATACATTTGTCGGCCGTAATTTATTCTCATCAGCTCTGCCACTCCACCAAGATATGAACCCCCGGAAAACGTACCACCATAGTTCACGCATACTCTAACACGAGTTCTAGCCATTCAAATAAGTGAACAACAAAAGGAATTAAAACGAAAGAAACAGAAAATTGCAGTAGAGAAGAATGGTGCAGATGTTGAATTGTTAGAGATCACTGTTTTTTTGCATGCATGATAAATGCACAGACAAAATCCTCACCTGTGAAAAAGCAGTCAATTAATGAGGTGCGTAACTTATGCGACAGATATGCGATCAAATTCCGAATAGTCGTAAAATTTCCATGACGATATGGCCCTGCGAAAAAATGGCGCGTAATCGTCAATTAAATTATGCTTTATCGATTTTGTTATGCGATTCTTCAATATGCGAGCGAAAAAATGTCGCATCATTGTCAATTATCCGGCGGATATATACGAAAGTTTTTCGCATACTAGTAAATTATGCGATTGACTTGGACATGCAATTTCCAGAAAATGCGAATTCAACAAATAATGCGAATTATATGCGAAAAATTTTCGCACAGTCATAAATTTGCAAGGTCGATATAGCCCTGCGAAATAAGGCGCATAATCATCGTAAATTATGCTGCATTTGATTTTGATATGCGATTCTTAAAACTGCTAAAGATGTTCGCATATTTGTAAATTATGCGTTTGATGTGGATATGCGATTACAAAATGCGAAATATTTTCGCATAGTCATAAATTATGCGTCCGCTTGGATATGCGCTGGTTCATTTAGACATGCGACTGTAATATCGCATAGCATTTCGTAAGTTTTGGGGTGTAAAAGAAGTTATTTGATGGGGCGGTGTGTAAAAGAAAGAATAGATTTATAACGGGGTGAAAAAGATTTTGACCCTTAAAAATATTACTATAATATAAAACATGTAAGTCACACAAGTAACAAGTGTCATACTAAACTATATAATAATACTAGATTTGCTCACGCCGTGCACGCACGGCGGTCTAACACCCCGTGTAAAAACCAAAATGGATGCTTGGAAGTATTGTAGACTGTAGTATAATTAATATCAATGTTTACTACAGTATGTCACAAACCGTTGGGTGGAGAATGTGGAAAATCATGAGATAACACAAACTGTTAGGTGGAGAATGTGGAAAATCATGAGATAATATCACCTTCATGCGAGAAAACCCATCTTCATATGGCGTTCGAGCTGCAATAATACAGAATATCAACCCCAAAAGAGAATGTGGCGTCTTATATTCTATAAATAGCTAAAGGGTAACAAAATAAGAAGAAAAGCGAAAAGAAAGTACTTGGGCCATCAATATCAGTATATATAACCGAAAAATTATCCTCGTTCACCCCAACTTTAATGCCCTCCGGAGGGGTTTCATCAAGATTCTTCAGCTCCTTTGCAAGCTGTTTAATGACATTTGGAGGGAGATTCTCGGTTGTTGCCTAAACCATGTAAAAAAAATGGAAAGGCATAAGCCAATGGAAAATCTTCAGGTGTGAATTGATGATACTCATGGAAAACATGCATCAAAATCTCTTTACCCATTCACGTCAAAATGTACAAACATATAAGGTTAATAAATTTCTATTATTTTTTTTTTTCAAACAGATGATATAATGAAAATTCATTTATTTCCCTCAGTATAGTTTTTCTAACTAAGACAACATATTGGCCGAGTATTCTCCCACATTGCACATAAGTAAATGACAAGTAGCTGAAAAATATAGCATGTAACATTACCATAAAACCCGTGCAACAGAACAAAAAAGGCTAACAACGAACTCCTTTATTCTTTCTTTAAACAAGAAAGATACTCTCAACAGCTGCTTCAAGATTTGCAGTTACCTCAAGTGACGAGTTTATGATAGATACACCCCAAAGAGATTCCTGCAGGGAAACAGAATGGCCACTTCAAACTTCAGATCACCCAAATAAATGATTGCGATTTTTCTAAATATCGCTATTGGGGTATATAAATTATAATTAAAACAGGTTTATCAGCATATCAGAAAAATGACTTGTTAGTTTACAGCAAACAGAAATGATGGTGTTTCCGAAACCAGGTACTCCAAATTCTTATTTCGACACGATTAACAATCAACCATAGAACTTAGGTGTTAACCATCATAAATTGGTCAAAAAATGATCTTTTCAATATTTCAGTGGTATGATATTCTGTTCATACCCGTATGATAAGGGTCGGTGCGTCAGTGGACCTAAAAGACGAGCCAAGATATGGCAATCTAGGATTTTGAAGATATGGGACAAATGTTAAAAAATAATCAAAATTAAAATTTAATCATCATCTGAGGAAAAGCAAAAAACTGAACATTAAAGAATAAATTTCATATCGAAGAAGAATTTGAAAGGTAATTCCATACCAGTGGAAGAGGCTCCGGTTGATGGCAGAGCTTTAATGGACCTGAAACTATGCGATTTCCTCGTCGCACCTGATATTTTCAATTAGCAACAACATTAGATCACATGAAACTCAAAGCAACTGCTCCAACAGTTTCTTGCAGACAACCTAAAACTGAGAGTTTGGTAATATAAACCTAGAAATATAAAAGCGCACAAAGCAGAAACCAGAAACATTACCTGTTGCCATTGCCCCCAAAATCTCTTGTTGAAATAAGTTGTGTTGGTCCGCCAGTGGCATAGGAATCCAACGGCTACAGTGCCCTTGATGATACCAATTCCCTTATTTGCATAATAACCTTCATAGAAGGCAGCTATACCGGCAGTGAATATCCTAGGCACTGCACAAGAAAATATTGATATATTTATTATGTCAAGTCAAATGACTGCAAAAGACTCGAATAACACAATTCAAAGATTCCAACTGAAAGAGAATATGTTAACTGGAACAAAGTGGTAGAGTTGACTTACTGCACCAAGGTTCAGGGTAAACCATGCTGACATCAATGTTGTTAATTCTCAAAGCAACACTTAGTTCCAGTCTTCCAGATCAATGTATCCCCCATCAACAATCACAGCCTTTCCATTTTTCTTTGTCTTGATTGCTTCAACAAGTTTATCGGCATCATCAATTTCTCTCAAATAAAAGATGTTTTTGGCAACAGCGCCTTGCACATCAAAGTCCGTCAATTTGATAACCTGGACAAAGCAATACATATAATAAAAAACAGGCCCACTACCCAAAAAATAAACAACACAAGCTAAAAATAAATCAAACCAAACATAATTGTCAGAAAATTCAAATATAATTATGACAAATTCCAATGAACATGTCACTTAACGGTACAACCCGTTGCTATAATCAGAATCTGATATTCAAAAGTTTCTCAAGTCGCACTAATAAGCGTCTTTGAAGAAAGATGGGCTTTCACCATTTCCGTGCTCAGGATCAGAGATATCCCTGTAATATAACAAGATAGGGATAATGCGAGATTTTTGCAGTCTTCCATTAAAATCTGAGATGAGCACTCGGTGGCAGATGACGTGCTGCTGGACGGGACGCTCCGAGCCATATGAGGTGGAGTAGAGGCGCCGAACTTGCCACCTAGCGCCATGATCTCCATGGCCCTGTCTGGTCGGTAGATCATCGAACATTATGGCTTTACCCGCGAAAAAAAAAGGTGATCTCCCTGGTTTGCTTTTCTGGGACCCGACCCGATTTCTTAACATTAGGCAAAAAGTTTCAGAGTCCATAGTTTCAAATAAAGCAAAAAAAGGAAAGAGAGAGCACAGTTAGAAACAAAATCCAGCAAAAAAGATAACAAATCGTTCAATAAAAGCCTCACGGGAAAATACTCGATGCGGTTCTTCACACTTCGGTCACTGGAGCAGACATTCTCGATGCCCCTTGTCTTCGTGCATCCGTCTCCAATCTATTTTCCTGAGTAGTTATTCCCTCTGTGAATTGAAAATTAGAGTAATTGTTTGGGTGGGGTTATGAAGATGACGAAGTGTTTACCTGCTCCCGTCTCTATCTCCTGACTTGCGTGTGCAAAAATCATGTTAAAAGCAAGAAAAAAAAATCTGTCTACCCCTGACCTGCGGGATTCCAGCAAAAGGAAGAAGGTTTGTGAAGCCCAATGGCGACAAAAGCGGACCCTCTTGGAGCGCTCTCTCCATCGGAGCTACTGTTGTCATCGTCCACGGACGTACCTTCATCAGCCCATCTATCGCCGCTCGTCAACTACTGGGGATCGGCCTACCGCTTGTTAGCATCTATGTACATACGCCGTCGATTGACAGAAGAAAGAGCATAAATTAGGGTAAATTTTTTGGGAGAAAAAAAGAAAGAAGAAGAAAGAAGAAAGAAGAAAAGAGAGAAGATGTAAATTGGAGAAGCGGAAAAATGAGAGAAGCGGCCAATTGCGTGTTTTTTACTTTTTTATCATAGTCTTTTTATTTCATTGCTTTTTGACCGAATGATTGTTGCCTGTGTCATATGTATCAGATGTATGTTGTGAAGTGATTGGTTTAGTCGGTGAAGTTTCCAATACTTCATGAGTAAGAAAAAAAAGACCATATTGACCTTAAAAGTAAAGACAGTAAGGGGCAACTTAGTCAATTATAGAAGTGGCAAAATTGTAAATAAATCAGGACACGTGACACGTGTCAAGCAGCGGAAGTGACGAAAATGGACACTTGTCAGCATTTAAAGGGCAATGGCGACAAAAGCGGACCCTCTTGGAGCGCTCTCTCCATCGGAGCTACTGTTGTCATCGTCCACGGATGTACCTTCATCAGCCCATCTATCGCCGCTCGTCAACTACTGGGGATCGGCCTACCGCTCGTTAGCATCTATGTACACACGCCGTCGATTGACAGAAGAAAAAGCATAAATTAGGGTAAATTTTTTGGGAGAAAAAAAGAAAGAAGAAGAAAGAAGAAAGAAGAAAAGAGAGAAGATGTAAATTGGAGAAGCGGAAAAATGAGAGAAGCGGCCAATTGCGTGTTTTTTACTTTTTTATCATAGTCTTTTTATTTCATTGCTTTTTGACCGAATGATTGTTGCCTGTGTCATATGTATCAGATGTATGTTGTGAAGTGATTGGTTTAGTCGGTGAAGTTTCCAATACTTCATGAGTAAGAAAAAAAAGACCATATTGACCTTAAAAGTAAAGACAGTAAGGGGCAACTTAGTCAATTATAGAAGTGGCAAAATTGTAAATAAATCAGGACACGTGACACGTGTCAAGCAGCGGAAGTGACGAAAATGGACACTTGTCAGCATTTAAAGGGCACAAACTTATACATATAAGATATAAGAGAGATATATTTTTTTTGTAAAAAGGTAAATAAAATTTAAAATAATTTTTCTCATTAATTTTAAAATTCAAGAATAATTTTTTTTAACAAGCACCCGTGTAATATACGAGCATTGTACTTTTTAATAGTAAGATTATTCTTACGGGTATACTTACCTGAATATTAAATACTTTAAAAAATTTTTGAAAACAAATTTGAATTATTCTGTCTCCTACTCTATTTGAAATTCAAAATTAAATTTTTAAACATTCATAAATATTTTTTTCCTTACGTGATATAATGTAAATTTGGTTATTAAATTTTAAAATTAAAACACTTTAAGGAAAAGACCTTGAACAGATTTTGGTTACATTTCATTTTATCTTAATTTTCATATAATCATAATCCTAACAAACTAATTAGTATAATATTTTTTATCCACATTTATATAATCAGATTTCTTAAAAAAATAATTAATATAATATTTTAACTAATTAATCATTTGTATAACTTGATGTAACTTATTAGCAAACTTGCCAATTTTTTTTTTTAATTAAAAAAAATTTGGATGATTTTTATTTGTAAAATAATAAAATATAGCTTTACTTTAATGTCTGGATACTTTCCATTATTTTTTGTACGTTAACAATCATATAGTGGATAATTGATTTAACAACAGAAAATTGAAAACTGTAAATCATATTCCTTAAATAAAAATATTGTATAAAGAGAAGATTTTTAATAATATATATTTTTTATTATTTGTATTTATTTTATTTTCATAATAGCAGAGATGTGAAAAATATAAATAATTATATTTAAAATAAAGCCTAAAAAAAGGTTTAAAATATGAGCTTCTTTGTGCATCGCACGGGGATATACACTAGTTAATTGATTATATATACACTTTTTCAAATAAGATCAAATCAGATATGATCAAAAATATTGTTTCCATAAATAATTTAATTAACAAATGCAATAATTTCATTAGTATCCATTCTAATAAATTACAAAATTGATTTTTCGTGAGATTCATGTTGATAATATTTTGGTCAAGATATATATTATAACGTATTTTAAGTTCTAACCATAATATTAATATTTTCACAAATATCCACTTTTTATCAAAAATATATTTAAAAAAATCGTAACATGCAAGGTAGAGTCAGAAAAATTCAAGTTGATGAATTAATTTTTTTCAATATAATTTTTCTTAAGCTTTATTTCGTTATATATATTATTCTTCAAATTAATATAATTTACTATCTAAGAGATAATGACAATATACATTAAATAGTTTTACTAATTGTAAAAAAATAAGATTGAAATATATTAACTGTTCTTTAGAATTTATTTGTATATTATTGGCTACCATTATAATTAATTTTTACTATTTTTTTTGTTTTGGTTTATTTTTATAGTGAAATTATTGTAAAATATATTTTCATTGCAGTGTATGCTAAATAACTATGAATCCTTATAATACAAATTAGAAAAATCTTGATTATAGAAGTGATTGAGTTCTTGGCATTTTCTAAATCAAAGTTGTTTAATTAGTGTACAAAATTAAATTCTAAGAAAACATGTGTGTATATTTTGTAAAATGTTTATATACTATTTAATTTAAGATTTATTTAAGTATTTTAAGCTGATTACATAAATAAATAGTAATAATGTGCCTTGATGATTGTTCATTGCATAAAATAAAAATAAGGCGTACAACTTCTATAACTTTTATAAAAAATTACATTATATGACAACAAAATTAAGTTTATAATAAAATAATAATTAAGTATTATATGGTGAATAAGAATAATTAAAACTGTTACTTTCTCTTATATCAAGGAATATAATAATTAAAATTGTTTTGGTAGACAAGTATATATATACATACATCTATATATATATATATATATAGGGGGCAGATCAAATGAGGCCAGCTCTTAAAATGAGGCTAGCTCTTAAAATGCGGACAACTAACCTAGCACAATCAAACAACTAACCTAGCACAATCAGACAACTAACCTAGCAGCATCAGACAACTAACATAGCAACTGCAGAGACTATGCATTTTCTAATTTTTTCCAATTGGTACATAAAATATAGGTTGAGAGCATTGTTATGAAAAAAAAAACTTCGAAAAATGAGTCTCAATTGGGGAGATATAGAGGTTTAAAAATACAAAAAATGTATTTTTTTCTTAAAAATGAAATTGAAGCAAGAAAAAGGCATTTTTTTGAAAATTCGGGCGGCCAAACCGCCTTTCGCAGTTTGCAGCTGCGTAGATCTGGTCGAACTACACCAAATCAAAAAAATAGTTCGTCCAAAACGGAGCTTTCTACGCAAAGTTATGGCCTTTCAAAGTTTTGCTATGTGACCATGCAAATTTTCATCATGTAGTTGCAACTACAAACAACTAACCTAGCACCATCAGCCAACTAAACTAGCAGAATCAAACAACTAACCTAGCACCATCAGACAACTAACCTAGCAACTACTAACATAGCACCATCAAACAACTAACCAAGCACAATCAGAAAACTAACCTAGCACAATCAGACAACTAACCTAGCACCATTAGAAAACTAAACTAGCAACTACTAACCTAGCACCATCACGCAACTAACTTAGCACAATCATACAACTAACCTAGCACAATCATACAACTAACCTAGCACCATCAGAAAACTAACC